CCCCCACTCGCTGGGTCGCCCCTGAGAGGCCGGCACCCTGGTGCGATGCACCACTAAGCTGTATGGGAAAGATGGCTCTGGCCATACTTTTAAAGCTCATGCCTTCCCCCAAAGAATCCTGGGAACTGTGGTTTGTTAAGGGTGCTGGGAATTGCAGTTCTTCAAGGGGTACACTGTAGGCTTCTTTGGGGAAGATGTGATCTTTATGTGTTAAAATTCTAATGCTGTCACCACAAGCATGGTTACTTGGAAAGAAGCCACACTAAAATCCATTGGACCTGCTTCCAAGGACACATGACAAGGATTAGGAAATAAACCTCAAAAACAGGAGCATACAGGTGTGTAGCCACTGCTGTTATAATGGAATATTAAATTCAACAGATTCCTGTTTAAGGGTTACATGTCAAGCAACACCAAGGAGAAGGGCTGACCCTGCCTTGATGCCGCCACATATGCTGAAGACATCCCCAACTAATGCACGGCTGTCTCTGTCTGAAAAGAGCTGTATCAGCATGCATGGGTTTTCCTCGTTTTCCTCCACTGGGACAGAGTAAGAGGGGGCATGATACAGCTTTATAAAATTGTGCAAGGTGAGGAGGATATAGATAGAGTAATGCTTTTCTCCCTCTCTCTAGACCTCAGCGTCATCCAGTGAACCTGAATGTTGGAAGTTTGGAATGTAATCCAATGGGAGCAGTCAAATACAACATTCCTTGTTTTCCTAGAGTGGACATGCCAGGGCGCTGTTGGTCCAGCCAGTCAAACTTCCTGTTACACCTGGCTGGAGCATCCTTCCTTGCATGTGACTAGTGGGTGGGCATGACCTTTCCAGACCTGGTAAAAGGCTAAGGCATGCCGACACTCTCTCTCTTCCTCCATCTTCCTTTCGTCCTGCGAACTTCCTGGACTGAACCGCTGGCTGCCAGCCAAGCAGTCCCCCAGGTCATCTCCCTTATGGGGTAAAACCTGTTTGTATATGTTTGTAACTTTAAGCCAAAAGCCTGCCTTCAGGGATCACACTGTGCTCTGCCTGATCGTGAGTAAACTTTCTTTCTATTGCTTATGAATTAGACTGTGGTGTCTTTATTCTTTTAGGAGGGATTCAAGGAGTCTTACCAGGAAAATACTAGAACTCATTTCAATCTGGACAAGCCAGATTGAATTGCTTATTGTCTTAAGAAACTCACACGAGTTTGCAACGCCCTCCCATCGGATGTCAAAGTGAACAACTACTACCAGACTTTTAGAAGACATCTGAAGGCAGCCCTGTTTAGGGAAGCTTTTAATGTTTGATGTATCATAGTATTTTAATATTCTTTTGGAAGCTGCCCAGAGTGGCTGGGGAAGCCCAGCCAGATGGGCGGGGTATAAATAAAAAATTATTATTATTATTATTATTATTATTATTATTATTATTATTATTATTAAACCAGTTTTCTGCCGTGTAAAGTGGGAATGCACTCTGCTAAGTAAAGGAGCTTGCTGGTGCAAGTTAGGAAGGATATTAATAAATAATATATCCTCTCCTGCCGCAACATTCCCACAGGAAGATTGAGGACAGACAAAAGAAAGCAATTCCTCACATATCACATGATTAAAACCTGGAATAACTTTAGAAGAGTAGATGAATTCATGTAGGATAAGGCTATCTGTGACCACTACAGTGGTACCTCGGGTTACAGACGCTTCAGGTTACAGACTCCGCTAACCCAGAAATGGTACCTCGGGTTAAGAACTTTACCTCAGGATGAGAACAGAAATCATGTGGCGGCGGCGCAGCGGCGGCAGCGGGAGGCCCCATTAGCTAAAGTGGTGCTTCAGGTTAAGAACAGTTTCAGGTTAAGAACAGACCTCCAGAACGAATTAAGTTCTTAACCCGAGGTACCACTGTAGTTATGTTGTCTAGTGGTTTACCTCCACTGTTGGAGGTAGCATGCCTCTGAATGCCAGTTGCTGGAAACCACAGAGCGGGAAAAGGGCTCTTGTTCAGCTTATGGCCATGGTTCCCAACATGGGACACGTGCCCCACGGGGGGGGGGGATTTGATTTTTAAGGGGGGCAATTCCAGAATGAGTTATTAACAGTTAATGGCCTTTAAGGCTTCCTCCATGTGAACAGGAGTTGACTTTTTGAATAATAAGAATTATATGTCACGGGGGGGGGGGCATCAGGATTTTAGAAATGCTTAGGTGGGGCATGGCCCAAAAAAGGTTGGGAACCACTGGCTTATGGGCTCCCCAGAGGAATCTAGTTGGTCACGGTGAGAATGGAATGCTGGACTGGATTGGCTCTTCCTATTTTCCTCATTCTGACCAATCAGAATTGTTGTGTTAGATAACCCTTCAGATTGAGTCACTTATGGGATAGCTGGGGACTGTGACCCACACCCACATCATTGGGGGTAGGGACATTGTCCCATATTTCTGCATTACATGTTCAGTCCCCATGGGTACAGAACACCTGAGTAGGAATTGTTTCCCTGATATGTTAGTTTACTCCAGGTAGGGTGGGATGTTTTTTAAAGTGATAGAAAATATGACAGACACACACCCAGCCCACACAACTGAAGTGGTAAATTCCAGCATTCTACCTCAGTCAGCATAATGTTGCGCCTTGGGAATGAGATGGTACAAGCCTGAGGTAGCATCATGGAATGTGCTACTGCAAAGTACAAAGGGGTATCATATTTTTTGCATTGTTCCCTTCTTTAAAACCAAGTCAAGCAGACACAATCCTCAAAACTCACAAGCAGAAAGCTAAAACAACAGGGGTCGACTGGGCTAGGACCTGTCTTTCCAATTTGCTGGTCTTCTCCTTGTGAGGAGCTTCCATTATTTTGTTTACGTGAGGTAGTGCAGTCCACTGTCCTTCCTTAGGATTTTGCCACCTTATTTTGTAGCTTGCGCAGACCATATGGGTGAGGTACACATACCAACAATTCCAGCATTGTATTCCCCACTGCCCTCTCTCTCTGTATGTGTGTGTATGCGCAGAAGTGGGTGCATCCACCATTCTTAGTAATTGGTTTACTGAGAATTATTTGTCCACTAATGCAATCCAGTTTGATGACTTCTTTGGTAGGTCCAGTGGCTGCTGAGCTAGCAACTCTGCAGTGCTATTGAATGTGCGTGCATTTATTTCTTTCACAGAGAAACCAGACCAGAGATTGCTCATTTTTCTTTGCATATGCGAATCTAATTTGGGGTATAGGAATCTAAAATGGCCAGCTGCCGAACGCTGACTCATGTTCTCCACCTCCCCATCCATCCCAATGCTACACTTGCCAGTTTGCAACACACCTTTTGTTAAAAAATTTGGAAGTTTAGTTAATACAAACATTTCAGAAACTGCAATTAAAAGACGGCAGACTCCACATGCTATGTAGAGTGACACTTCTTTTGAAAGGCTTTGGTGATATCTAAGCTCAGAGCTCTGTATGCCATTTCACAGAAAGTTGTGGCGGCAGAAGGGGGGGGAGGGAGAGAGAAGTGAAGAAAGAGAAATTTGTCACAGATCCCAGCTTTGTGAGAATCAGTTTCAATTATTATTTTTTAAAGCAAGTTTCTAGTCTTTATGATTGAAAACTTGAGGGCAATGCCAGCCTCTTGCATTAGCTCAGTGTTTCCCAAACTTGTGCCTCCAGCTATTTATGAACTACAATTCCCATCATCCCTAGTACCTTCATCCACAGCATCAAGGACTTGTTCATCTACATGTGTTCCAATGTGATACATACTATATACCCTTCTGCTTTCTACAGGTTTTTGCAGGCCACAGGTCAGTCTCCTTGCAAAGGAATATTTGTTTTTATCTATCTATTTATTTATTTGTTTTATACTGCCCTCTCACAATATATCAAAGCAGTGTACAGCATCATTATTAATTTTTTTTAAAAAAACCCAAACATAAAAAGCCGTACAGAATCAGGCACTGATTTGACATCAGAAATGGCAACATTCCAAAACCACAGAAGCAACACAAACTCCCCTGGGACTTTCTACTGCTGACCTCAATGTCGCCCTTCTCCAAGAAGTTTGTAAAAGGAAACTCCACCCTAGCGCTGCTGAATGATAACTCTCCATAAATTTGATTCTGTCTGTTTAGGTTTGAATTGTGATAATGGTTTCCTGCCCGATTACAACACTTGGCTCAACCCAACAGTGTTGGGGTGACTATGTACAGAGGAGTTTCAGGAAAAGCCAGCTGTTGGGGTTTGCACACAGCTCAAGCACTGATTCTGGTCAGTCATATATACAGTATAGTGCAAGGACCAACATCACAAATGATGCCCTTAATTAGAGCTGTTTGGCCATGTCCTTAACTTCTTTGGTTGCAGCAATGCCCTCAGAAGAATTTTCCTGGTCCGACCAGAATTATAGCCTCTTGAAAAGTGCAAACTGGAAAACCCTCCCTTTCTCCTAGGAAAGCTATTTTGCACGTGCTCAGGAACACTTTGCCTTAAAGTTCTTTCAAGATTTCTCGGGGAAGGCCAGGAACTCTGCACGAGCTCAGTCAGTCCTGCGTTTGCCAAGAAAAGAAGGCAGACGGATCTGCATTGGCTACTCCATACAAGAGGCGTTTGGGGCGTCCGGCGTGTCCTCTGAAAGCACCCAGAGCCGAAGAGCTGGAAGCGCCTGGGCTCCCAATGTCACTTTTGCACTCCCGTAGAAACAGGTTTATTCTTAGTAATATTATATACAGTATAAAGAGCAGTGGAAGCAGCCAGACTCAGTCAGCTTGGCTTAAGCCCGGAAGAGGGATCCTGCAAGCTGGAACAAACAACAGAGGGAGAGACAGAGAGGGAAACGAGGTTTGCCTAACGGCAATGCCCGCTGCACCTTGCAGGCTATGCAGTCAGGCAGTGGCCGAGCGCGCGCTGGTATTTCGAACGATCCCCGGATGGCGCGCGCTCCGCTCTTTGCAGAGGGAGGGAGGGAGGGAAGGAAGGAAGGAGGGAGAGGGAGGAGGGAGGAGGGAGAGGGAGGAGGGGGAGGCTCCTTCTCCGTCCAGCAGCAGCAGCAGCAGCAAGAGGAGGGAGGAGGAGGAGGAGGGGTCGCTTTTGGAGAGGAAGCGAAATGAAGGAGCCAAGCAGGAAGCCCAAAAGAGTTCGCCTGAAAAAAGAGACCAGCAGAGTTATAAAGGCAGCGGAGGCGGCCAGAGTTTGCTTGCAGTCCTCCCCGGGTTTTGCCTTGCAAAAATAAGAACAGTCACAGCAGCAGCAGCAGCAACAACAGAGCTGCATCCCCTCCCCTCTTTGCCTATCTGCCTGCTTCCTCTTCCAGCACCCCGGGGGAGAAGGACAGCTCCCTTCGCCCGTTGGCACACTCTGCGCGCGAGAAATCCCCGGCAAGCCGCCTTGAAGGGGAAGGAGGAGGCGGCGGAGGTCACCGGCGAGCAACAGACGCGGCGAGCTTGCCGGGCACCTAACTCAGCCCTTGCAGGCGCCCGAGACTCCCGCTTCCTCCAGAGCTCCGCTCTCACCTTGTACCTGCTTGCAGTTGCCTAGTCGGGGAAGACTACCCCCTCCTCCCCCAGTCCCACAACCTGTCGGCCTCGGGGGGTGGATCTTGAAGCAGGCAAAGCAGAATGTACCAGGGACACATGCAGGTAAGAGGAGGCAGCAGGAAGCGAGCTTTGCAAAGGTGGAAATCCAGGCTTCGGTTAAGTTTCTCTGGGGTGGTTTGGGGTGGGCAGGGGGACGCATCGCCTGCGCCTCGCGCAACAGGTGGACCGGGCTCTTGCCTCACTTCAGGAAAAGGAGGCCGGTGGCTAGAGGTTGCAGCAGGTGAACTTTGCAACTAACTTCGGGGTCTTGCCCTGGACGCCGGTTGGACCGGTGACCTTTACGCACCAGGTCAGCCCTTCCTGGGAAGACAAAACCGTCTAGGAAAACAGCTAGTGGAAATCCGACAACGCCCCCCCCCCACTACCTCTCCTTTCCAGCGCCTGCTTTCAAGGCATCCTTGCATGTATGTCAGCTGAAGGGCAAACAATAAGAGGCGCTCTCCCTCTTTACTTTTTTTGTGTGGTGGTGGGCTTGGCTTTGCAAAACCTCGCGCGCAAACTCCGGCCCCTGTGCATCCTCTTTCCCTCTGCCCCTTTGTGGACGGAGGTTCTGCGCCCTCAGAAGCGCATCTGGTTCCCCGGCCGCTATTTGGGGTGTGCTTGTTTTGTCTCTCTCACGCACACCGCCGAGCTCCTCTTCCTCTTCCGCCTCCTCTCCACGTTAAACGGGCGGCGCCTGATCTGGCCCAGCAAAAAGAGTGAATGAATGAATTTGGGGGCGGGGGGGGGGGCGCGACGGAGAGAGAAGCACAATGCTTTTGCAAAGGTTGGAATTTCAAACGCACGTCTTCCAGCATCTCTAGATAGAATCGCAGCCTCCGACTGCTATCGATCCATGTATATAGCCCTGAAAGCGGAGGATGCTGTTTTCCCTTGGTACGCTAGGGATGGTGGCTTTAACCTTGACTCCCTCTCTTCCTTCTTCACGTGGTCCTTTTCCCTTAAAGAAAACAGGTCTTATTGTGGAGGGAGTGCTGAAATATTGAGCCCATTGCTTGGAGCTTTTTTTCCTTATATGCAACCAAATCTAATTTCTTGGTTAACCTCCCTCCCTTGCTCAACTCCCTCTGCCAAAAGAAAACATCAGCAACAACCCACTTTTAAAATCACCTCTAGTATGTATCCAGATCGATATCTTAACATGCGTGAATAGGAAGGATAAGGACAGAGAGCAGAGAGGGAAAATCCTTGCCTTTCCCCTTATTTTCGGTACTTCTGGCTGATTTCAGGGCTTGTTGATCAGGCTTTTGCCCACGTCAATGTCAACCATAGGAGTGCATATGTAATGTGACACATGAAAGTTAAATGAGCATCCTGACTCAGCACTTCTTGCTTTATAGAGCTAGATGCTGTAAGAACTCTTCATGGTCACTGAATTGGCTCTGTAATTAGTATATATATATATATATATATATATATATATATATATATATATAAAGACTGTGCAGCTCAGCAATATTTAAGGGCTAGGGAAGGCTTGGATCAAGAAAATCATGCACAGTTTAATATTAAAGAGCACAAATAAATGTTGATTTCATTCTATGCCTTAAATGAGGGGAAATGCACATTGCCCTGACCACTGAAATCGTGTTACCCACCAACCTGTACCTCTTTAGACTGATCTACAAGATGGTTAAGGGTTAGTTCGTGGTTTTAAGGCTGCAGTTCAAATCATGGAGTTACATGGAATAACTTGCAATAAAGTCAGTGCACAGGATCAGGTCGCAAACTAATTTATGTTAATTTCATTTCAACAGGAATAAAGGTATTTTCACTTAACTGGACTTAAAGATTGGGTTCAGCGCCTAGCTTTTGTGCATCTGCAAACTTTGCGCTGGCATAGTATGAATTCTACTGGAAACTGCACACTTCATATAAGTGCAGAAAGGAGGCGTTATGTTAATTAATAGTAATGTGCTCATTTGTTTAATCAATAAAAGCTCGCTTAAAGCTTTCCTTTACGAGATTTGCATCTAGGTGTGCAGATCTGGAAATTGTTCAGGCTATAAACAGTTGGTAATGATAAGCTGTTTCAAGTCATAAAATATACTCCTAATATCAATAGGCATTTGTCTGGTATCTAGAATAGGCTCAGCAAACAAATGTCTAATTAAATGATTAGAAAAAGTTTGCTGGCCACTTGTCCTCTTTAGTTTTATATATTATGTATTTATGTAGACTTATGGGCAATGATCCTTGACTTGTTTATTTGAAAATGAAAAATATTTCTGAATAGTTTTGTTCCGAGCAAATATGCTTAGAGTCCCAGCTTTAAGTACTTCCCTTTCTTACGGTTGACCCAATGTAAAATGTTTTTTAAAAACCACAGCAGTTTCCCCATCCACCCACATACGTACATCATTTTTTTAAAAAAAGGATTTCTCCTTTTTGTGATTAACACAGTGTGTATGGGGGGGATAGGCATAGCAAATTAATCTATAATGTGATATTTGCTTGAAGGTTTCTTTTCCCATCATTTCCACCTTTTTCCATCATGTCCACCTGTGATGTTGACAGTAACAAATCTGTAAAGCCTTCCTCTGTTGTTATTATTTGCTGAGCTCTGTTAGCCAGCTACAGTTTTCCTTTGAAAAGTTTATCCAGTTCCTCTTTTCACTTAATTCACAGTTATGTCTCCTGTTAGGAAAAATTAGTTGTGGACCTTCAGAACAAGAGGGTCCAAATCAAAGGAGGATTGGGAGTTGAGGGTTAAATGTTTGGCTCCAAAAGCCGTTCAGCAAAGGAGTGAAGGAGAGCAGAGATGTTGTAGAAGATTTCAAGGAGGGTAAGATAAATTGGAATGCCTTGGGTATAAAACCTGATACATCTGAGCTTAACTTACAGTTCAATGGCCCGCTTTCTAAGCCTGTCTTTCTGGTTATGTTGAAGCCAGCCAGATCAAATCGGCTTACATTGCCTTTTGGAGCTCTTAGGCTCTTTCATTAAAAAAAAGTGTCCTGGTTTTGGAGAGAAAGGCAGCTCACAAGTTCCACAAGAGCAGTCGAGTTTTGTTTTGTGTTTGCTCTGATGCTCTAGGGTCAAATTGCATGTGATGCTGGATATCTGTAATTGGATCTCCTGGCGTTATTTTAAAAAAAAACCCAAAACTTAAAAGGTGCTGTGGTGTGCCATCGGCTTGGGTTGGCTTGCTCCCCTGAAAGCAGCTGTTAGCCCCACTGGGATGGGAGGGGTATAGATAGATAGTTATAATGTACATAGGAAGCTGCTTTAACTTTAATAGTGCATCAAACTATTGGTCCATCTAGTTTAGTGTTGTCTACACTGGCTGGCCAGAGACTCTTCAGGATTTCAGGCAGGGCTCTTTCTCAGCCACAGCTGGAGATGCCTGGGACCTTCTGAATGTAAAGCAGATACTTCACCACTGTGACCCATCCTTAACCCTTGTTAGGCCGGTGGATGCATTAGCAGCTTTCGGCGGGAGGGATTTTGATTGGCAAAGCAGTACGGAAGGATAGAATCAAACACTCTCTTTCCACAGTCCTGCGTCAACTTACTCCCCTTTCCCCATCGGCTGCTTTTAAGCCTCCTGAAGGTGTTGGGACTGCTGATCATGGATTTATTACATTTTCCATGATCTCTGTGTTGGGGCAGGTGTGAAACACTTCTGTGGGGCTATGAAGTTGCTTCAGAAGTTTTGTTGTTGCAGCAACTGATTGCGGTGTGTGCGGGAAGCTGTTTTGGCGTTTACTATGAGCATTTACGCAATTGTATCTCAGCTTAATAAAATGAGATACAAAAGCCTTTTACCCTGGCATGCAGCCCTTTTACTCCTCCCTTCGTGGCATGCCTCGATTAACCAAGGAATCTCTAACTAACCATAGTCTCCTGTGTCATCTGAACTAGGAAACCATGGTAGCCAACTTTGGGACAACCTAGGATCTTACGCCATAGGTTGAAGTCAGTTTAAGATCCAGGCTTGTTCTGAAGTTGGTAGTCATAGTTTCCTGGTTCAGACAAACTGAGAAACTGTGGTTAATTAGGGACCTGCAGTAACGCAGGTCCAGATTTTACAATCAGAGCCTTACAGTGCATATTGGCATTTTGCCTATGGCCGTTTCGCCGATTAAGTCCCTGGTTGTCTGGGAGGCATGGGGCTTTCTTGGCATGACAGCATAAGTCTGGCAGGCCCCTGGTGGGGCCCCCAGCTGGCTTAGCTCTCCAAGACCTGGGGGAAGTGTACCCAGCTGCACCCCCACCCCTGAACAGGCTTGTTGGCTACACCTGTCCACACCAGCATTTTGCAACCAGAATCAGCCCCTGGATGCTGTGAGTTTAAAGGGCTAAGCAGAGGGACTTGCATGGCCATCCTCCCTCTGACCATTTTCTGGTTCAAAATAGCTGCACTCTCCTTCTCCCTAATCTGCTTGTCTGCTTGCAGTGGGAAATAAACACTTAACCCCACCCCCCATAGAAAAGTAGCTTGCATGAGGTTGTCAGTTCTGAGCAGAAAGAGGGGAAAGAGTTAGGCACCCACTCCCTTGCTGAAGCCTTACATCACCAATTTGGGTTGAAAGAGTTCTTGTGAATCGCTCTGGCATTTAGAAAGGAAGGATGGAATAGACATCTTTAAAACAAATGAACAAATGTCAGGGTAAAAAGACATACACTGCGTCAAGTTTGGGCACCACAACCTATTCCAGTCACAGAATCATGTATACCAATTTCCTCATGGTAATTCTGCAGAACAAGGACCAGGCAATCACGGCTCATGCATTGAGAAATACATTGTGCAGATCAGGCAATCACGGATATGTTTGTGATTGTGGCGGCTAAAGAAAGTGCTGCTACAATTGCAAGAAATTACTGCTGGCCTTACCAGAGATCAGCCAGCTCGCACAATATGATTCTGCATTTGAAATAATGGCTTTCTAGTCCTCCTTTGCCAAGGTGCCTTCACAATATACCTCCAGCCTTCTCAACTTGGATTCCAAATACATCACTGAGTGTCATCAAAACCAGCAGGACTTACTTCCAAGCATACTTTGGATCCTAAGATGTTAACTTAGGGAAGTTTAGGAGAA